TGGTGGCGCTCCTTGGAAGCTAGGGGGCGGAGGATGGAGATGATGGTAGCGCTTTGGCTTCTGGTATTTTTTTGTTGTTCTTTTGATTTGCTTGATGATGATGACTTTCTGAGAACTTTTGATTCTATTTCTGAAACTCTTCCTCTTCTTGATGATGAACGTGTTTCTGAAACAATGTTGTTTTGCTTCTAAAACTTTTCCTCTTTCTCTTTGGCCCTGATTGTTTGATGATGATATTATTCTGAGAAATTGCTTGCTTCGTTGATATTGTTGATGATGAAGGTGTTTCCTAAACTTTTGTTGGTTAGCTTTATTACCTCTGAACCTCTTCCTTTCTCTTTGTTTTGAGGTTGATGATGAGAGTATCTCTGAAACTTTTGGTGTTTTGCTTCTGAAAACTCTTCTCTTTCTCTTTGAATGCTGAATAATGATGATGAAATTGTTCTGAGAACTTGCTTGCTTCGTTGATATTATTGATGATGAATATACTTCTGAAACTGTTTTGGTTGCTTCTGAACCTCTTCTTCTTCTTTCTGGCTTGTTAATGTTAATGATGAAGAAGTTCTGAAACTGTTTTGGTTGCTTGTTCTTTGTTGGTTTTGAAGATTAATGTTTGCAGGTTGCTTTGATTTTTTGGTTACAGGCTGTGTAATTTGCAGTTTGAGATGTAGGTTTGCAGTTTGAAATGCAGGCTTGCAGTTTGTAATGCAGATTGTTTGGGCCAGCTGATTGCAGTTTGGAAATGTTTGTAGGTTATTTTTGTTTGGCCTGTGAGCAGGTTTTGCTATAGCTTGCAGTTTGAAATGCAGGCTTGGTTTGGGCTAGCTTGGCCTTTGTTCTGTTATGCAGGGTTTTTGGTGTTTGGATTGTGAGCAGGTTTTGCTATAGCTTGCAGTTTGAAATGCAGGTTTGGTTTGGGCTAGCTTGGCCTTTGTTCTGTTATGCAGGGTTTTTGGTGTTTGGATTTTGGAGTTTTGGAGTTTTGAGATGCAGGCTTGTGTTTTTTTAGTTAACAGGTTTGAGCTTGAAAATTGTTTTGTTGTTTTTTCTGAGTTTGTGTTTAGGCTTCTGCAGGTGTTTAGCAGGTTGGGAAGTTTGTAACTTTGAAAGGCTTTGTGGTTTTCTTTTCACAAAGTATTTTTTTTGTCCCCCCCCCTGTGTTTGCTGCTGGACTGTTATATATCTTTTGTTATCTTTACTGTCTTTTACAACCTGCCTTAGCCAAACTGCAAACCTCTTCACTAGGTCCTCTCTTTCTCTCTCTCTCTCTCATAAGCATTTTTTGCTTATTATTTTTAAATTCTGAAAAGTTGGCTGTCTGGAAAATGATGACAGCCTTTTTGACAAGTTTTGACTTGTCAAGTGGATTACCTCTTACTGTTTTACTTTTGCCTGCTGTATTTCTTTTTCCATGCTGCATTTCCATATTTATCCAATTTGTCTTGTAACTTGGTTTTGGGAAATTTGTTCTGTAGCTGAATATGGGACTTTGCTTGCTGCTGCATTATATATTTGTTTGACTCATACCTTGGCAGTTTTGGCGCCTGTTTGCCCCTTTGAATTTGTAACTCAGTTTGGTTTGGCAGCCGTGTTTGGTTTTCTTGGTTAGGTAGTTTGTAACTCAGCATGCTTGCATTTTTTTTTCAATTTGTATTTTAAATTTCTCTTTGTGAACCAAGAAGAGCAATCTTCTTGTGATTTGCAGAGAGAAAAATAAAGCGTGACGAAAATAAGCATTCTGATTCCAGACGGCCAATTTTAATGATGACTTCCTTTTCTTTTTCTTTTTTTACTTGAAAATTCTTGTACTAATTTCTTTTCCTTTGCCTTTTGCAGGTGAGTACCAATTTGGATGATAGAGGAAGCAGTAGAAGTCAAAGATCTTAGGAGATTAGGCTTAGATTTATTTTTCCATTTATTGTAAACAAATATTATCTTAAATACTATAAGTTGTAATCTTACAATATTCAAATAACTTTTGTAACAATATTTGAAGTAAATAAAAGTCTTTATCCAAAAGAAAATCTCTACTGTCAAATATCTTTCAATTCTTCCTTGCACGTTTATTTAATTATTTAAGACTCTCAAATCAAAATAATTGAGACTGTCTCCCAATAATTCTAATCCAGATAAAATAAATAATCAACAAACTTTGCAGTCTCGTAACCTTGCATCAATCACAATACGCATGGTATTCCAATTAACATACGCATTGTACAGTTAAACAAACAAACATTCCATTGAACGGTAAACCTTTCACTCCACTAACAAGCAGGTGCCTTAATGTTCCAAACAAAAGTCTCAGCTCTTATCCCAGATAATCAGGTTTTGAGAAACAACCAGTAAACTTGAACAAGCGTGAAAACAATGTAACAGTTAACTGAATTTCTGAGGATTCAATTTCTTCTGAGGAATGCGAGAGAAAACCCTAATTCTGGATTGTCTGCTAAAGAAAAGTCTGTTTGATCGATTCTTGAGCTAATCTTAAAAAATCAGAGAAAACCCTGGGATTGTAACGTTCTTGTGAAAAAAGGGAGGGCAAATTTTGGGGTACAACAGGAAACAATAAAGCGCGGTGGCGATTTTTAATTTGATATGTGTGAGTCAAGTCAATCCAATGGCTTAGTCTCAATATTTCTACCGCTACACCTAGGAGCAACGACTTGGGGGGCTCATGTTCTAGATTAGGCCCGCGGCTGGCCCACCGTAAGGCAAGGCCCAATCTATCCCTCGCTCAAGAAAGGCCCAACGTTATGGTCCAAGCAATCATGACCGTTGAATATCACCCAAGTTTCCTCTCTAGGGGGATGTGGCAAACTGCCCCTAATATCACAATACCTCTTGCCCTCCAGGAAGAATTGATCACCACTACTCGAGGATCGCGGGACAGTTGAACCAGGATCATGGACTGAGACTGCTCCACCTCACACACGTGAATCCTGGCAGTCTCCATATTGGGCCTGGGCGCTTGGCCCAGCGCTGAGGGCTATAAATATCCTCTCTCACTAGAGGGTCAGGTACTTTCATTCATTCTCTCACTCTCTACTTGCATTTTGCTCTGAACCTTACTTTAGCATCAAAGTGTCTTGCAAGTACCATCATCCACTTCAACGGCCGTACGAGTCAATTGTTGTGGGCCATTGGAGATCATTCTTGTCAGGTACGATAACTAGTATACCAGATGCTTCAAATTAATATTAAGACTATATATTATTCCCTCTGTTCCTTTTTAAGTGTCACATTTCAAAATTTAAAATAATATTAATTATAATTTTATCAAAATTACCCCTAATCATTATTATATAGAGAGAAAGTTAAATAAATTATTAAAAAATTAAAGATATTATAGAGAAAATAATATTATTATTTAAAAAGTAACGATAATTATTAATTATCTTAGTATGTGTAAAAAAAAATAAAAAGTGACAATTAAAAAAGAACAGGGAGAATACTTTATCGTAAAAAATAATTAATTTAATTATTTATTTTATAGAGATTAAAAAAGTTATTTTATTATAAACACAAAATAAAAAAATTTAAATTTAAAAATAATTCAAATAATATTAATAAAAAGTATAATAAAAAATGAATATATCATATTTTAATGCATTTTTATTATAAATATATTAATTATAAAGTGTTTTTACATTGACAATAAATTATAATCGTTAGAATTTAAATTGTCATATATAAAATAATAATTATAAACAGTTTGTGATAAATTTATTGTGTAAAATTTTTACACTAACTTTACGTAACCATTAACCCATTAACTAGGAAGAATTAACATACATAGGCCTTTTCCAACAATCTTACACAGAATTTTTTTTATAAATTCTATATGTCACGGACTACATTTATTTGACCTAAATGATATCGCAGTATCTTGAATTTTCCTTGACCGACTCTAGTATGTCATGAGATGTTTTGGTTCTGAATACTACATGCTATCTATAACTCATTTTGGCTGTCATGTTATGCCACTTGCATGAAACATTATTATTATTCCATTATTATTACCACTTGCCCACTTGTTTTTCTTTCCTTTCCCATGTGGCGTTTGGACTTTGGCAGTACCACACTATCGTCTAAACTTTTAGTATTCACATTCACACATCCATATATAAATTAGTAGTATATTTTTAAGTGCTAATACTAAATTAGTTTATGCTAAGCATATCAATTATTTACATTTTAGGCCATTTGCATCACTAATCATCATCGGTTAGACTAGGTATTCACACATAGATTAATACATATTTCAACATTCTTAAAATGCTCACAGTGATTTGGTTCAACAAGTCACTTTAAAAAGACTATAGTCCTTTACTCACTCGATTGCAATTACAAATTCAACAAAATTCATAAAAAGAACACCATTGCATTCAAACAACCCGTTGTTTTCCGACTTCAAGTTATAGTTTGATTTGATTTTTAAAAATTTTATGATTTAAAGAAAAGCATTTTTTCTATTCCTATTTATAAAATAAAATTTATTTTTAGTATTTATTGAGTAATCAACGGATATGATCTATTATAATATGACAAATATATGTTAGTTTTTTTTTTTTTAATTACCAAATTTTAAAGTTCTGATTTTACAAAACCAAAATTGTAAACTGGTTTATGCTATTAGTTTCTTTTTCCCCCATTGTTTTTAAGTTCTCATTGGTTCTTCCCCTCTATCTCAATTCTCAAACCTTTGTTTTCATGTATACAATATAAATACTTGGCGTATCTTATGTTTCGTCTCAATCAGTAGAAGATACTCCACTTTGGTCAACTTGAATAAAAATCCATTTTGTCCTCTAATGAAATAGTAGTACTCTTTATCACAATACAATGTGAACACATTCTATCACAAATTGGTTCATACCATAAAATTATAATACTAATGAATTCAGAAACGTATTCATATGTATATAAACCCTTCAATTTCCACAACTTTTATACAATGTAATCAAACTTCAAATCCCATTGACCTATCCAATTCCAAAGTCATGTTATCATCTCTAAACCTTAACTTGACTATAGTCATACTCATTTCAATTTCATCCCTTATTGTCTCACATTCTCAAACATCAACAAAAACAACCATTGAAATTGAAATTGAAGCATTGAAAGCTTTCAAAAAATCCATAACACATGACCCAAATAAAATCCTTGCAAGTTGGATTGACACACGCCCTCATTGCAATTGGTCAGGCATTGAATGTAACAACAATTCAAACCATGTTATATCAATTTCTCTACCTCAACTTCAACTCCAAGGTCAGATTTCACCTTGGATTGGTAACATTTCAACTCTTCAACTTCTTGATTTATCTTCAAACTTATTCACTGGTCAAATTCCAATTCAAATTACTCTATGTACTCAACTTACATCGCTCTACCTTGTTGATAATTCTCTCTCGGGTTCGATTCCTTGTGAATTAAGTAACCTCAAAATGTTGCAGTATTTGGATTTAGGTAATAACTTTTTCAATGGAACCCTACCTGATTGCTTATTTAACATCACTTCGTTGTTAGGTATTGCTTTCGATTTCAACAATCTTACTGGAAATATTCCGGAAAATATAGGAAATTTAGTTAACACTATACAAATTGTAGGGTTTGGGAATAGTTTTGTTGGATCTATACCGGTTTCTATAGGTCGATTAGAATCTTTGAAATCTATTGATTTTAGTCAAAATAAGTTATCTGGCGCGATACCGAAAGAGATTGGAAACCTAACAAATCTAGAAAATGTTCTATTCTTTCATAATTCGTTGACCGGGAAAATTCCTTCGGAGTTGGGTCAATGTAGCAATCTTGTATACCTTGAGTTATATGAGAATGAGTTCACTGGAAACATTCCTCATGAGTTAGGGAATTTAGTTCAGTTGGAAACGTTGAGGTTATTTGATAATAACTTGAATTCGACTATACCAGATTCGATTTATAGGTTGAAATCGTTAACGCATTTGGGTTTATCAGAGAATAACTTAGACGGAACAATTTCTTCTGAGATTGGAAATTTGAGATCCTTAAAAGTGTTGACTCTGCATTTGAATAAGTTCACCGGGACGATTCCTTTGTCGATAACGAATTTGAAAAACTTGACATCTTTGTCCATGAGTCAAAATCTTCTTTCAGGTGAAATTCCTTCAAACATAGGTGTGCTTCAAAATCTGAAGTTTCTTATCTTGAACACTAATTTTTTGCATGGCCCTGTTCCTCCTAGCATTACCAATTGTACTAGTTTGGTTAATGTGAGTTTATCGATTAATTCTTTAACCGGAAACATTCCTGAGGGCTTTTCGAGGCTTCCTAATTTAACTTTCCTGTCTCTCGTATCGAACAAAATGAGTGGTGAAATCCCTGATGATCTTTTCAATTGCTCGAATCTTAGTACTCTAAGTTTGGCGGATAATAACTTCAGTGGTACGATAAAATCTGGTATCAAGAATCTGTTTAATCTCATGCGTTTGCAGCTGAACGAAAATGCTTTCGTAGGACCAATTCCACGAGAGATCGGTAACTTGAATAAACTCATCACTTTGTCCCTTTCTGAAAATAGATTTTCAGGGCATATACCGATCGAATTGTCCAAACTTTCTCTCCTTCAAGGACTTTCTCTCCATGACAATGAATTAGAAGGTACAATACCTGATAAACTTTCTGAACTGAATCGATTGACGATACTTTTTCTGCAAGAAAACAAGTTGGCTGGTCAAATACCAGAATCTATCTCAAAGCTTGAGATGCTTTCATACTTAGATCTTCATGGAAACAAACTCAATGGATCCATTCCGAAAAGCATGGGGAAGCTTGACCATCTTTTAATGTTGGATCTCTCTCACAACGAGCTCACAGGATCGATACCTGGAGACGTCGTTGCACACTTCAAAGGCATGCAGATGTATCTTAACCTTTCTTACAACCATTTCGTTGGAAATGTTCCGTCTGAGCTAGGGATGTTGGAAATGGCACAAGCGATTGATGTTTCAAACAATAATCTTTCAGGTTTCCTTCCGAAGACACTCGTCGGGTGCAGAAACATGTTCAGTCTTGATTTCTCAGGAAACAATATTTCAGGTCCTATTCCTGCTGAAGTTTTCAGTGGCATGGACTTGCTTCAAACCTTAAATCTTTCAAGAAATCATTTTGATGGTGAAATCCCTGAAAGCGTGTCGCAGCTTAAGAGTCTTAGTTTCATAGATCTTTCTCAGAATAACTTGAAGGGAACTATTCCTGCAGGCTTTGCCAATCTTTCCAACCTGATGCAGCTCAACTTTTCTTTCAATCAACTTGAAGGTCCTGTACCTTTGACCGGAATATTTTCACATATCAATGAATCTAGTATGGTAGGAAACCAGGCTCTCTGCGGCGCAAGATTCCTAAGGCCATGCAGAGAGAATGGTCATTCCCTATCCAAGAAGAGCATAGCTATCATTGCTGCACTTGGATCTCTTGCTGTACTTCTAGCTGTAGTGCTTCTGGTTTTATATCTCAACCGAGGCACCTTGTTTGGTAGTTCTATAAAGAGTGATGATAGTCACAAACCAGAGTGCAATACAGCGTTGGCTCTTACAAGATTTAGTCCAAAGGAGTTAGAAAATGCCACCGGTTGTTTCAGCTCAGACTACATCATTGGTGCTAGCAGTTTGAGCACTGTTTACAAGGGTCAATTCGGAGACGGTCAGATTGTAGCCATAAAAAGGTTGAATTTGCACCATTTCTCTTCAAATACCGACAAGATCTTCAAGAGAGAAGCCAGCATCTTGTGCCAGCTGAGACATAGGAATTTGGTTAAGATACTTGGATATGCTTGGGAAAGTGGGAAAACAAAGGCTTTAGTTCTCGAGTACATGGAGAATGGGAACTTGGATAGCATCATACATGATAAAGAGGCAGATCAGTCGAGGTGGACATTATCTGAAAGAGTCCGAGTTTTCATTTCTATTGCGAGTGGATTGGATTACTTGCACTCAGGTTATGATTTTCCCATTGTCCACTGTGATCTAAAGCCTTCAAACATCCTTTTAGATAGAGATTTTGAAGCTCATGTCAGTGATTTCGGGACAGCTCGAATACTCGGTCTTCATCTAGAAGACGGTAATGCCCTTTCCTCATCAACAGCTTTGCAAGGCACAGTTGGCTATTTGGCACCAGGTATAACCTTTTCTAATCTTTTATGATCAATGAATTATGTGTAATCTGTTTTTATCACAATTTATAATTTTCACTCTCTGAACAATATTTTTCTGTGTAATTTTCAGAATATGCCTACATAACGAAAGGTACGCCTAAAGTGGATGTGTTCAGCTTTGGTATCATAGTAATGGAATTTCTAACAAAAATGAGGCCAACAGGGCTCTCAGAATCAGTTAGTTTACACGACGTAGTGGCAAAAGCCGTTGCAAATGGAAAGGAGCAGCTTGTCTACATTGTGGACCCTGGATTGATCACGAAAGACAACGGGGAGGAGTTGGAAGAGCTCTTTAAGCTATCATTGTGCTGCACTCTCTCTGATCCTGAACGTCGGCCTAATATGAATGAAGTCTTATCTGCCCTCGTGAAGCTTAAGACGGCAAGATAGTATTACTGTCATGTTAAATGATAAACAGCATGAATCAACCAATCCTTGGAGCTGTTATTTCAAAAGAGGAAAAGAAAGCTTGCCAATAGTATCTTTAACAATTATAAGGCCCTGTTGTATCTATGTTGGTTTTCCAGTTATGATGTAATGTATGCCACAAGTTATCAGGGGACTTTGATTCTGTAATTAATTCCTTCAGTTTAATGCACATAATCTATACATACATATATTCCAGTTTGTTCAATCATATAGTCAGAGAATCGTGTCGGTTGGGAATTAACTTAACAGGTTTGTTTCAAGTTTCACTCCCCAATATTCTATAATGATCATGAAATGAAAGTGTTATGGGCCACCCGCAAGGCCCGGAAGGAAAAGTTCCAATTGCAAGGAAATAAGTTATCACACGAGGAACAAGTACACCCTTTTTCCCCCGCGTCACAGAATGCCCCTCACGAGAATACCAAGCTAATCTCCCAAATCAATCCAACGGTTGCCGCATTCCACGCCGTACCACACTCGTGCGGTTATCAACCACCTCTCCTATTTAAAGAGGAAAATGTGTCACTTCACAAGTATTCAAGTCTTTCTCCATTCAAACTTCATTTCTCGATTCCTTAATGATTTGAACATTGAAGTGCTAATTAAAGGTCAACCTCCTCACCACCACAACAGACCGTGAATTTATACTCTCCGATCATCCGTTAGAGATCATAAACGCTCAAGATTGACCTTTTATTATGCAAGCAATATTCTAACTTTGAGAAATTTTAAGCAGTGAATAATAAAATGCATCCTCCCTCTCCATTGAAAATAGGAGCTATCATATACTATGACATAATAAAAAGTTCAAAAAATAATTGACAATGGATCATAGATATCCTCTTAAACATCTTTATCTCTATAGAATGAATAGATAGTCTTCACAACAATAATCAAGATTGTTCATCTAATAATAAGTTTGATTGGTTTTACATAGGTAAAAACTGATTTTGGTTGAGTGATTTTAGTTAAGAGTTTAGGTTATGTTTGAATATCATAAAATAAGGAGCGGAATAGAGCTGAATGCTTTTGAGTATTTTAAGACAGCAAGACAAATTCTCCATTCCGCCAAATCGGTCCATTGGATTTTAGTTGATTCAAACAATTGAACAGCATTCCATACCATTCCATTCTGCTATATTTCATCACTTTCCATCAATCCAAACTTACACGCAAAATACATTGGACAATAATTTTGAGTAAAAATTGTGTTTAGAGGCAAACACTACAAATCACACAGCTTCAAATTAAAATAAATTCTAATTGAGAATATCCAAACATACCAAAATGAATGTTAAATGTCACTTTTGCCTCTTCCAAAAAGTGATTCCAAACATGCATTGGTTCATATAAAACAGACAAACAAATTTATTACATTTACAAATGCTTCAATTCCTGGGAGGATCAGTATGAAGAAATTCTTGAACAGTTGAAGGGAAATCCAAACCTCCAAAACCATCCTTAGAGTCAGAAACAAAAGCAGCTTTCTCTAAAAGCAAATGTGCCAACCTCAAAGGCTCTTTCTTTTCCACACCATCATTCAGAAAATGCTTGATCCACCCATCTAATCTCAACACCTCTTTCTTACACTTTGGCCCTTCTACACCAACAAATTTCGAATGAAACCCACCTTCACAGTGACAAGAATCACAATCACCGTCATCAACCTCAAAACCAAAACCATCCCTTTGTTCCTCTGAAATTCCTAGTAGCATCATTAACTCTTCAATGTCATCAACATCTTCATTTGCAATTGTGATGTCATCTGAAGGAGTGGTTTGAATAGGGTTTTGATGGGTCAGTGAGAATCCTTGAGAAATTGAGAGGAATTGCTGAGGAGGTTCACTGCTTTCTTGGGTTGGACATGTTTGGCTGCAACTAGGTTGGAGAAACAAAGGTGAACCCAATGTTGATAAAACATTGCTTTCTTGTACTTGTGATTCTCTTGTTTTTGTTCTTGTGTTCTCTAATTTTATCCTTTTTTCAACCTATGTACCAAATTTAATAACCCATTCATTAAAACATTGTCAAGAACAATAATTTAGGATGTTAGAAATTTTGATTTCATACCTGTTTTATCGAAGAGAAGAATTTGGAATGCGCAGACATTGAAAATGGTTCAGTTTTGTTTGTTGAACAGTAACATTAGTACTTCATCCGGCTCAATAGGTGTACTCTTTGTTGTAATATTAAATTATATTAGATTTGATTAAATTTAATATTTAAATATAATTTAAATTATGTTAGTTTAAGTTTAATTAGAGTTGTATATAAAAAGTTATAGTATATATTTTTATTTTGTACAATTCATTAACTGAATAATAGAATTTTTATTTTATTTTTTATTCTCTCTTTCTCTCCTCACTAAAAGTGTTTCACGCACTAATAAATTGTATTCAGAGCTTCTGGTTATTGTTTTTGATCGAGTTTTCAAGAATTTAACGTCAGAAATCGTGTTTCCATGACAAGTGAATCAATTGTTGCGAAAATGGCTAGTGATAAGGGCTTTCTAAATTTTCTTCCAATGTTTGATGACAAGAATTGGATCCGATGGAAAAACAAATGCATTCTTTGTTTGGCTTCCATGAAACCCTAGAAGTGATTACCAACAGTGTTCCTGCATTGGCTGCAAATGCAATCGACGAACAGAAAAAAACCCACAACAAAGTCAAGAAGAAAGATTGCAATGCTACTTATTGCATTCAGACGACGGTCGATGTTACTAACTTTAACAGAATCTCTCATGCTGAAACGGCGAATGAGACATGATATATTTTGGTGAAGTATTATGAAGGAGATGAGAAAGTCAAGGTTGTCAAGCTGAAATCCTTGCGTCGACAGTATGAGTTGTTGTCGATGAGAAAAGACGAAAAAGTTACAGAATATGTGTCGAAGGTTCAGAAACTCGTCCATCTCATGAAGGATTATGGTGAAACCATAACTGATAAGATGATAGTTGAGAAGGTAATGAGAATGTTAACCTCTCACTTTGATCACGTTATCCTAGCTATTCAAGAATCCAACAAACTTGAAACCCTAAAAGTGGAAGATTTGGTTGGTTTGTTGGAGGCGCATGAGATGAAGATTGTCGAAAGAAAAGGAGTTCAAGACTCGATACAGGCACTCCAAGCTCAGTCATGGAAAAATAATGGTGATTCCAACAAATTCAAAGGCAAAGTTGACAAGACTCATGGAAAGAAGTCTTGGTTGAACCCTCACAGGCATCAGGTCGAAGGTAGAGCTTCTGAATCCCCGAAAAGAGGAGGAGGAAAAAATCGAAAGGACAAAGAAGATAAAAAAGGTGTGTAGTGTTATAATTGTGAAAAATGGGGTCACATAGCAAAGAATTGTTGGTACAGAAAAGACAAGGGATCGACAGGCAAGGAGGAAGGATTGAACCTTTCACGCCAAGATTCAAATGATTCTAAAGATGGTATGGTGGTTATGGCTGCAGTTGCAGATAACCATGTCGAATCCAAGATCTGGTTCCTCGACTCAGGCTGCTCGAATCACATGACTAGTCGAAATGAGTGGTTAGCATATTTTGACGAGTCGAAGAAGAGCAAGGTAAAACTTGCTGATAATAGTTCGCTGCAAGCAGAAGGTACTAGCAACATAGTCTTTCAAATGAGTAATGGAGGGAAAGATATGATTAAAGTTGTTCTCTATGTACCTGGAATGAAGTGCAACCTACTAAGTGTTGGACAACTAGTCGAAAAAGGTTTCTCAGTTGTTATGAAAGATAGAGTTTTGAAATTGTTTGATACCAAGAAAAATTTGGTCTAAATCTTCATTGTCGAAGAACAGGATATTTAAAACTATGATCAGTTTGACAGAAGTTCAATGTTTGAAAACTGTTGTCGCCCACATGGATAGTTGGTTGTGGCATTTGAGGTTTGGACATTTGAACTTTCAATCACTTAATCAACTGATTACTCAAGATATGGTTACTGGTATTTCAAGTCTTGAGATGCCTGACAAACTTTGTAAAGGTTCTTTAGTAGGAAAGCAATCCAGAAATTATTTTATTTCGACTATGCCAATAGATCATCCTGCATTCTCGAAGTGGTACATTCAGATGTATGTGGATCATTCGAAGAACATATCATTAGTGGAAACAAATATTTTGTTTCGTTCGTCGATGAGTTCAGTTGAAAGTTGTGGATCTATGTGATCCAGAGAAAGGGCAAAGTATTTGAAATCTTTAAGAGATTCAAGACACTTGTCGAAAACCAGAGTGAGAAGAGGATCAAAGTTCTACGAACAAATGGAGGTTGCGAATACACTTCAAAGATGTTTAAAAAATTATGTGTAGAACATGGTATTGTTCATTAGGTAATTGCTCCTTATACACCTCAACATAATGCAATTGCAGAAATAAGAAACATAATTATATTGGATATGGCAAGATGAATGCTAAAATAGAAGAATTTGCCAAAATCCTTATGGGGAGAAGCTGTTTCGACTGCAGTTTATATCCTGAGCAGGTGCTCTACCAAGATATTAAAGAACAAGGTTTCTGAAGAAGTATGGAGTGACAAACGATCATCAGTGAGTCATTTGAAGGTTTTTGGCTCTATGTTTACAAGAATGTTCCCGATGCAAGAAGAAGGAAGCTTGATAACAAGAGTGAACCAATAATTCTGGTAGGATATCATGAGACTGGTGCATACAGGTTATTCAATCCAATTAATGAGAAAATTGTGTTAAGTCGAGATATTGTGATTGATGAAAATTCTGTCTGGGATTGGAATTCTAGTAGTTCAATTAACAAGCCATTGATGAACTTCGATTTTGACGAAGAAATTGATGAAGTCGAAGTCAAAGGAATTGCTGAGAATCCAACCGAAGTCGAAGTAGAAGCAGTTGCTGACATTCCAGAAATAGTCGAAGTTGAAGATGTTGTGGTTGAAACAAACCAAAGACCTCAAAGAAATAGAGTTCTTCCAACAAGACTTCATGATTATGAGGTGGTAGGTGATGATGAAGTCACACTAGATGGAGAATTAGTTTATTTTTCTTTACTTGCAAGTGTTGAACCAATCAACCATAACGAAGCTTTGAAGATTAAATAGGGGAAGTTAGAAATGGTTGAAGAGTTACAGGCAATCGAAAGAAATAATACATAGAAGTTAGTCGAATTGTCAGCATATACAAAAGCTATTGAAGTGAAATAGGTGTTCAAGTTGAAACACAATGCTGATGGTTCGATAGTAAGACATAAAGAAAGATTAGTAGCTCGAGGGTTTCTTCAACGAGAAGGAATCGACTACTCTGGAGTATTTGCTCCAATAGCAAGATCAGAAACTATTCGACTAGTGGTAGCATTGACATGCAACCAAGGTCGGTCGATATTTCATTTAGATGTGAAATCAGTATTTCTGAATGGTCATTTAGACGAAGAGGTCTATGTCACACAACCTCCAGGGTTTTTGATTCAGAAGGAGGCAAGTAAAATATATAAGTTGCACAAAATGCTCTATGGCCTCAAACAGGAACCTAGAGCATGGAACAAGAAGATCGACTAATACTTAGTCGAATTGGGATTTGTCAAATGCAAATCAGATTATATTATTTATGTTCAGGTTGTAGCACAAGATATAACAATCATGTGTTTATATGTCGATGACTTGCTAGTAACTAGAAATATCTTGGAGAACTTGTCGAAGTTCAAAGAGCTGATGATGAAGGAATTTGAAATGTCGGATCTGGGAAAATTATCTTATTTTCTAGGCATGAAATTTCAAATGTCGAAGCAAGGTATGGTGTTGCATCAAAGGTAGTATGTCAAAAAAATACTCAAGAGATTCAGAATGAATGATTCGAATCATGCATCCTCACCTGTCGAACCAAATATGAAGTTGGAGAAGAATAAAGAGGAAGACAAATTCGATGTAACTTTGTTCAAGCAAATCGTGGGATCTCTTAGGTATGTGCGTAACAGTCAACATAATATAGGTTTCACAGTCAGATTAGTGAGCAGATACATGAGTGAACCAATGGTGTCACACATGAAAGCTGTAAGAAGAATCCTAAGATACTTAAAAGGATCAATAAACTGTGGAATACTATTTCGACGAGACTCTGAAAGCAAAGAAACAACAATTAATTATTTTTCAGATGCTGATTGGTGTGGAGATAAGGAAGATCGAAGAAGCACAACTGGATATTTCTTTCAAGTATTTGGTGCCCCAATCTCATGGTGGTCAAAAAAACAACATGTGGTGACATTATCATAGTGTGAAGCTGAATATATAGCATGATCGTATGTTGCATGTCAAACAATTTGGATCAGATCTGTACTCGAAGAAATGATTGTCTAAGTGAAGAAACCTCTTGTATTGCAAATCGACAACAAGTCATCCATAAATCTGGCGAATAATCCAATTCTGCATGGAAGAAGTAAACATATTGAAGCTAAGTTTCACTTCTTGAGGGAAAAAAGGTAAATCGAGGTGAACTTGAAATTAGACATTGCTCGAGTGAAGCACAGTTGACCGACATTTTCATCAAATGATTGAAGATCGACATATTCTTGAATTTGATAAAGAAATTAGGAATAGTTCATATCAACTTTGACTAACATAGGTTCGAGAACTTGGATTATGAGGGTGTGTTGAAATATTAAAATAGATTTGATTAAATTTAATATTTAAATATAATCCAAGTTGTGTTACTCCAAATCCAATTAAAGTTGTATATAAATAGTCATAATATACATCATTATTTTGTACTATTTATTAAGTGAATAATGTAATCTTTATTTTCTTTATTATTCTCTCTTTTTCTTTTTATTAAAAGTGTCTCACGCACTAACACTCTTTTCTTTTTATTTTTGTCTCAAATTATTTGTCTATTTACCATACCAATAAAGTTTTTATTATTTTTTTCCAATATTACCTTATTTTAAAGTATTCAATTATAATCACTTCAATAGGATAAATATACACATTTTAATTTCTTTTATAAAAAATTCAGTTAAAGAATGCATGTACATTCATGTACCTCTCTCTTGGTATTGCTACCGATTTCATTTTCAGTCAATTGAATTTTTCTCTTGATATTATCATTTCCAAAACTACATTCCACTAAAAGAAAAACATAAATAT